AGCGTCGAAGCCCTTCGTCGAAGATGACAAACGCAGAGACCTTTGTCGTCGTCGTGCGGGAAGTTCGTCGAGCACGAGAGAAAAGATTTACGACCGATCGAAGGAATCAAAACCAGGGTTTGGCCTTCGGGCGAAACCCTAGTAGAGCGGGAAGGATGGATTTCATTATATATATAGTATGGTATATGCAAAGCTTATGAAAATCAAAGTTTAGGTGCTATATATGTAAATACATAAGAATTGAGTGATGTATGTAAATGGCGCATTTCGGCGTCGTCGGCTCGCGACTTCGAAGTCGACTGCTGATCGCGTCTCGTCTCTCTGTTCGAAGCCGACATATCGCATCTCGTCGTCTCTTTCGAAGCCGACGGATCGCATCTCGTTGCCTCTGTTCGAAGCCGACAGACCGCATCGCGTCTTCCTATTTCCTCCTTCGTCTTCCTCCTCACAGAAGCCGACATCTCGCCCTCGCGCCGTTGATTTCGGATCTGTGCCGATCGACCTGAAGAAATGACTTTACGACGTTCGTACGCCGCCGCCCTCACCAGTGATAACCCCGTCTTTGTCGCTCTTTCGAAGATGTTTCCAAAACGATACCACGTTAATTTTGCTCTTAGTATTGAAACCAGATTTCTCAAAAAAACTTCCCGTAAAAACGACAAACCTACAATCTTTCTCACTGAGGCAGAGATCTCCACCCTAGCTGCGCCTTGCCAAATGTTCTTAGTAGGTAAGTTTCTTTATGGAAACCCTAAACTTGAGCTAATTCGAAAGGATTTTGAGCAAATGAAGCTGAAAGGGGGTTGGAAGATCGTAAATTGGATGGTCGTCACATTCTTATTCAATTATCAAAAAACGAAGACTACACCCAATTGTTTGCAAAAATAGTTCTTCGAATAGAAAACCAGGTGATGAAGGTTTTAAAATGGACGATAGATTTTGACCCTCGTACTAAACTTCCTACCATTGTTGTTGGCTGTGCTTCCCAGGTTTGAAGATCCACCTTTTTGATCAAGAGTTTCGCTTCGCTGTAGCGATGGTATACGATAAACCCCTCAAAGCTGACACGTCTACAGCGAATTTGAATCGGCCTTCAGAAGCCAGAATTTTGATAGAAAGAGATATTACTTTACCTTTTTCTGGAGAAATATGGATTGACACACAACATCAGGGATTTTGGCAGCAAACAGAACTTGAACAGATACTACTTTATTGTACCCAATGTCGTATGTTTGAACATTCTCCTTCTCAATGTTATCAGTTGCATCCGAATTTAAAACCTTCAAGTAAAAACGCTTATGGATCTGCCCCACCTCAAACCTGTCCCTCTTCCGCTCCTGAGTGCATTCCACAGACTATTAAAACACCGGTTGATACGATGCAACCTCCCCCTCCCACTACCGGAGACAATCCTGTCTCTGTTCTTCTGACTGATATATTGACAGATGATTTATTTGGGTCCGATAAGCAGGATAGTATTGAAGCTCCACATCCCCAGGATGCATCAGGTGTTGAAGAGACATGCTTACCACCTCTTCAGAATCAGAATGTTGTTATTGCTAGTCAGAAGCTGGGGGCCCATTCCTCCTACATGCCCAACAATCTGTTGACCACACCGATCAGGTGAATTAGTCCTCGGATGAGGAATGACAGATATACACATCTAGAAAGAAAAAGAAGAATGGAGGCACACCCTTGCTTGGGAACTTAATGGATGATACTCTAGTAGCTTTGGGTAATGGAACGACACTCAGCAATTTGTTAGCTATCTCCGCTCCTAGAACCAGAGACAGAGACAAGACCAAGCTGGCTCGTGCCTAGCAGCTTATTTCATGCAAGTTTTGTTTTTTTTTGTATTTTATTTATGTTTCATCCATTTAGAATGCTAGTGTCTGATGTATCGTATGGGAATGACACCTTGTTTTGGGTCCTCTCATACAACCTCTATGTATCTCTATTTCAATAAAATTAGCCCTTGGGAGTTTATAATAATATTAATATATATATATATATATAAGAAAGCTCAAGGGCTAGTATATTAAAAGAAAGAAATATGCAGATAGATTGTATGAGGGCCTAAGCATGATACCCTACCCTCAAGTGACAAAACACAGCAAAATATATGGGAGCCCAAAAATCAAAAGTGACAAAACATGTAGTATCAGATAGCTAAAGAGCGACCCAATTTTGCCCTGCCTCTGCCTTTAATTCTAGAAAAGGAGCCAGCTAACAAATTGGTAAGATGAGTGTCATTGCCAGTAGTAACTAATGTATCGTCCAATAAGTTCCTGAGCTCGATTTGGCCTCCATTCTTCTTCTTCCTCATGGAATAGACCTGTTATTCCTCATCCGAAGACTGACTCATCTGATCAGCGGATTGGTTTAAAGTGTGTCGGGCATGTGTAAGTTGCTGAACATTGGAATCATGTACTTGTTGTACCAGTTGATCTTTTATCTCTCGTGTGTCTTGACATGTAAGTGATCATTCTTCAATAATAATGAGTGGAATAGACACGGTTGGATCAGTACTAGCAGTATGGGGAGATGTTTCATGAGACTCCAGAGTATCATGCTCCAATCCAGTAGCTCGAAGAGAGTGTTCAAAAGCAGGAGCATCCAGGGGTAGAACGGCTTGGGTATGATGTTCTTCATCTGAGACGACAAAGACAAAGGTTTGAGAGGAGGGTCATCAGAAAATTTCCCATCAGGAACAACGTCATTCAGATGAGCAGAGGTATATGCGGTGTTGGAAAGAGGGTCGGGTTGCACCTCCTCAGCAGGGATGGTAGGTAGCAAGAAGTCCACCCCCAATTCAGTATGAAGAGATTTTTGATTATGTTGCTTATCTTTAGCAATATCTCGCTTTAAATGAGGATGCAAACGATAACAAATAGCAGAATTATAGCCAAACATATTACAATGAGACAAATAAGGAGAGTGATTCTAATTCAACCTTTTGCGAATACCCGTTGTGTGTGGATCCAATGCATATCTCATCCAGAGTTGGTTTGATGATATCTCTCTCAACTAACACAGAAGCCACAAAGGGTCTGGTGAAAGCAAGCGTAGGACTATCAACATTGAGAGCATACTGTAAGCAGTTGCTAAATAGTAGAAATTTTCAAAGTTGAACAAGTGTATTTTTAATTCCGAAAACTTTATCCAAATAGGAATGATAGGGAACTCCGTTTTTGCATCAAAGTCGACAGTTCACTTGAGGATTTTCATAAAATGATTGTCAATCTTGATTAACTTTCGTGAAAAAAAATACGAGTGTAATCCACATCGTGAGATAACTAAATAAGTATATGTTGGTCGTCATGTAAGCCAATATTTCAACTACCCGATAGCTTTATAGCATCAAAATCTTTTCGAATGATCTTAAGTTTAGGGTGACCATAAATGAATTTCCCTACTAGAACAAAAAGCCTAGAAGACGCAAGAATACTGGTTTCAACCTCAAAGAGAAAAAGAGTAGGTTTCCCATTTTTTTACCAAGCTTTTTTAATGAAAGTGTGATCACCACCACCTTCAAGAGCCTCATGAAAGGATTGTGGAACGATGTAGGACTTACCGATACCAAAATCAAGCTCTGAACGTGAAATAGGGGCACAGGTAGGATTGTCGCAGGAAAGTGCACTGGCATAAGAACGGAGCGTCGAGGCAATCTCCACCAGGCAAGATACGGCCCAAGTTTGGAGCGGCGAAAGAGCGAAATCCGAAGGAGGATCAGGGGAAGCCCTTCAAAGTCGAGCAGAGGAAGACATAACAAAAAAGCTGCACCCAGCTCGTAACAGGCACAACTCGATGAAAATGACGGAACAGAGGAGCCCAAGCCCTTCGTCGTCGGGCAGGACGAAACGATGACGCAAAAGTGTCAGGAGGAGGAGACAATGTGCGAAAAAGCCAAAGGAGAGAAGCCCTTCGTCGTCGGGCAGGACAAAACGATGATGCGAAAGTGTCAGGAGGAGGCACGACGAGATCGATGGATTGAAAGCCGAAGGATTTAACGGAGAATCGCCATCGGGCGAAACCCTAGCAGAGTTAAACATATATGTTAAATGCTAACATATAAATATGCGTGCGTGCGTGCGTGCGTGCGTGCGTGCGTGCGTGCGTTAGATAGATAGATAGATAGATAGATAGATAGATAGATAGATAGATAGATAGATAGATAGATAGATAGATAGATAGATAGATAGATAGATAGATAGATAGATAGATAGATAGATAGATAGATAGATAGATAGATAGATAGATAGATAGATAGATAGATACTGATATAGAACCTAACAATAACAATAATCTATGATTTGTAAGTACAAATCATTTTAACTTAAACATTATAGCATAACTTAAAATAAACAACTATGAAATTATAGTAGTTTCACGAAAATCAAATCCTCTTAGCTTACGCTGGTGATGTGTAGACATTTCTTCTAATGCAGGAACATCTATTAAATGAATCTAACTGGAGTCGGACAGGGAAATGACTGGACACAAGGTATGCCTTCAAAAACTCAAAATAGTACTCCAAATACATGGACTTTCACAAAGAGACAACCTAACAGTTGCAAAAATAAAACCTATTATTTAAGGTTCCACTAGGTTGCCATCAAATCAACTAGTTTCATAATTGCTAGGAAAATTGGAATGCCAAGCCTGCAAGTGAGCCCTAGATTCCATTAACATCAATATTAACTTGAAAATTAGACAGGGAAAAAACTAAGGAAGATTTACAGACCCTACCACTCAATTTCTATGTATTTACATATCTAACAGCTAAACTTCAATGTTTGCATACAATCCACTTTACCTACGTATGAAAAGATGTATCTCATTTTTTAGAAGTTAAAATGGTGGTATTTTTTATGTGATATCAAAAATTTGGGTGGTATAAATGTAAAAAATGATGCTAACAATTGCAGTTTCACAAAAAGGCAATGTGCAATCAAGGGCACAGCAAAGATCTTCCACAAATACGAGAGGAAAGTTTAAACCTGGTTCACAAAGCCTATTAGGGCATCCAACTGACCCATCGCATTTGCCATTTGCCCCATATAATTCTCCATATAATTCTCTGTACCGGAAGAACCCAGCGGTTCTCTTGTCAGTATCTCAGCAAGCGTTTGTTGAAGCTTATCCAATCCTTGTGAAAGGGCATCTTCAGCTTGCTGAGATGATTGCTGCAGGTTACACACAGCAACTACCTGCTGCTCCGTTAAAGGGTCAAACTGTGGGGTTAGAACCTGCATAAAAATACAGCATTGAAAGAGGAAACTTTATTTCCTTTTTCATTAAATACACTTGACAAATGTAATGTCCAAGACTATAGGCAATGGAAATAATCACAGAAAAATGAATAGAAAGCATAATATATAAATTGACTCCAACACTAGAAATAAAAACTTAGATCTTATATACTGTTTTATGTTCTATTAATCTGAAACCTTTCAAAATAAAAAGGTAATGGAAAAAGAAGTAGCCCCAGTTGTGTATAACATTATTCTTCTTTTTTTCTTTTTACCATTTTTCGGTCTTGGCATTTTTATCCAATCCTCATATCCTAACCACAGTCCCCATTTATTTCCACTTCTGATTTACAAAGATCAAACAACATGAAGAATGAGAACTTTGACTGAGTAGATTCAGAGGCATTTTTCAACGTAGAGCTTATACTAATCCTAGCTATTTCAGAATAACAACTTTAACAGGATGTTTCTTAAATACAATTACAATAACAGTAAAGAAGAAAGGTAGGCAGGTAAAAAACTAGAAATGTCAAAATGGCAATCAGTGAACTTATTGATTAGGCATGAAAACCAATAAGTTTAGAGCAAGTAAAAAAGATCTAGTAGATTATTTCAGATGCTAAAAACCTGCAAGCTTAACCACAGTCATTATCTATACAGTGCAAAGGAGTAAGCTCTGTATAGCTGTATACTAGATCACCTTTAAAAGTTCTGAAGGACGAAATCCTCCAATCCAGAGAAAAAAGCGCTCTGATGCTGTCCTCCACAAGCCAGACATTAGATAGAAAACATCAGATTTTGCAGCAATTGCTTTTATACGGAAGAGATCATAATAATGGTTCATTCCACTTTCTACAAGCATCCGAAGTTCTATTTCAGATACATGTGTTTGTAGGACAGCCCTAAGTTCACAAATCTGTCTATTTTGTTCTTCAACCCAATGCCCATATTCCATCTCAAAAGCAGCCACTCCTTCAAAGGAAAAAGAGATGTAAAATTAGAAGAATACTTGCACTCTTTTGAGAAACTAAGTAACCAAAATTTAACTTAAGTCATGCCTCCTTAGAGAAAATTTTTAAAATTTTGAAGATCTTGTCCAAGTTTTTTATAAACAAGAACTAAGCTTCCTTCAGAAAAGTGTGTTTCTTCTCTAACATTCTAACTGAAACACAAGTGTTGTTCGTAAATTAAAAAACCTACTACAAATTTACAAATCTATTTAAATATTTACTCACAGTAGTTGCACCTACAATTCTTATCTATCAAATTGAGAACTTACAACAGAAAACGTAAATCCACTGTATTTCGCAGGATACATTATATTGCACTACAATAGTGGTGGAAAAAAACCAACCAAACCATAATGAAAATGAGTAAACTAAATTTATAAAGAATTGATTTAAAAACAAAATCAAGTTTTTACAATATAAAAAGAGGATATTACATTGTATGCTCGATGCAATAGTATAGGGTTAGAGTTTCCTAATAATACAGTACAAGCCTTTAAACAGGCCAAATTAACAAAAGCTCAAATGTTCATAGGCCAATTATAAGAGAATCAAACCAAACCACAAATAGATTTGACTCGAATCCATTTTCAAGCCTTTTTTAGGCAAACTTTTATCCTCGGTAGAATTTCTTTTAAAATCTTTCATCAAAATTATTTGATTATTTTTTTAATATTCTTTTGGATAAAAGTATGTTTAAATCTAAATGTTTGATTAATTTGGATAGGATTACATTCATATTTAAATATTTGGTCTTATCATTATAACCAAATTTTCTATAAATAGAAATACATTTGCATGGTTGAATAATTAGTGTTTATTTGATGGATGTTAGGATCACGACATTTCTGTGGAAAATATTATAACTCTAAATGAACAACTGGTCAATTAGTCTCCACTAGAATTTATTCTAATCCATAGTCCTACAACTTATCATGCTAGTTGAAAATTACATGCGAGTAAAAAAAATGCTACACAAAAAAACATTATGCAGACTATTATATAATCTTGCATTGAATTATTTTTTGCATTATAAATGACCAAGCAAGCCCAAAATAACACTAATGATCATCTTCCCTAAAAAGATTAATTCAAAAAGAGCACCAATAACCAAGTTGATAACGATAAAAAGGTAAGATTTTTATAAAATGAACTAGGACGAAACACCAATAAGCAAGAGACTAACATGGTCAACTTGAAACAAGTAAAGGAAAACTTATTTGCACAAATAGTACAAATGGAGCACCAACAAGTAGCTATTTTTGAACTATAATTGATCGTAATCATGGAACTCACACCAAACAAGCCCAAAATGGCCAAATTATGAAAATGAGCTCACATGTACTTTTTTTAGGGAAGAGAATCACGGAATAAAATATACTTAGGAAGGAGCACAAACACCCCATGAGGGGGCATTTTATATAAAAAGCCTGTCTTGGGAGCAATTTAAATAAATATAAAAAAATTATTAAAAATAAATTTTAATGTATATTAATAAATTATTACAATTAATTTATATATTAATATATATTACATATTATTATAATTAATTTATAAATATATATTACATATTATTTTTTTCAGTTATATTAAATTATAATTTGATATTAATAAAATTGATTAACAACAATGAATTAATTAATTTATTACTTATTTTAATTTATTGCGTTATAATTATCAACCTATTAAATTTATCCTATGTATATCCTTATAATATTATAACTAAGATGATGATGCACTAGTTAATAAACACAATTAGCAGAAAATATATATGAAAAAAATGAATTAACTAACAACAAACGAATTCATAATGTGTCTTGCAAATTAAAATATGCTCATAATATCATGTTTACAAAGTAAAATTATACTCTACGCCGAGGTGGAAAGTAGCAATTGCTGTTATTGAAATTTTATTTCAACATTGCCGTCTTCAATTGCATAGTTCATACCTTCATGTGACATCTAGTAGTTTTCTTTGTTCACAAAAATTTTTTATGTATAAATCGGAGATGCACCGAAATTTCAAACTACGAATGAAGGCATAAGTTTAGGTACATCTACGATTTATACACAACCAATGCCTATGAACGAAGAAACTATGAACGGAGCAACTGAAAACGAGAATGTTGAAATAAATTTTCAAAAATACCACTTGTGACATCGACCAGTTAGACCGCCGTTTCAATATATACCTAGCTCAGGCGTTGTTCAACTATGGAGTAGAAGATTCTACTTGATAAACATGATGCTATAAGCATATTTTAACGTACAAGATATTATGAATTTTGTTAGTTACTCATTTTTTTCACATATTATATCACATAAAGATGTGCCCGCACGAATCTCAAAGTAGATGAGCGATCCAAGAAGGAAGTACGATCGATCAGATGAAGCAATAGACAATCGTTTCCAGATAAGCGACGACGGAAATCCCTCACCTAAGCGATCGACAGAAAACAACAAACAGAAGTCCTCGGGACAGTCATCAACCTACGGAACGATCGATGGGGAGCACTCCTCCGGGCCATGAATCAATTGAACCAAGATCTGTCAGATGATCGGTGACCTTTATCAATCGAATAGGTCCCGGGCTTTATTATATGCAAATAATTTTGTAAATTATCAAAAAAATCTCTCTAAAAGATTAATGATTAGGAGGCTGATATTTATTTTTGTCATGTTAGAATCTAGGTCTATAAATAGGGGTCCATATTATGAATAAAAGAGACATTTTTGGCTGGTCTACTATTACTCCTCTCTCTCTCTCTTAGTGCCTCCTAATAGAATGTTTCATTCTTTGGTGGCGTGCTTCCCAGACAATTTCAGATTCACATTCTTTAAGGTGCGGTAAACGTGGAAACATGTCTTTAACAAGAAGAACCCAACAAGAACAACAAAAAGAGTCTAGCCAGAGGAACGAAAGAGAAATAACATGCACCTGAGAGTTCATGGAAGAATTCGTTCAACAAGGATTGCAAGACTTAAAAATCCAGATCACCGATCAGATGTTGAGACAGTTCGCTGAGATCTTACTGGATGCTAGATGTCAAGGACTTAAAGCACGACATAGCTCATGCCGCGCTAACACAAGGAGTAAGGTCGGAGAGGTTTCATTTCGACCTTGTGCTTGTAGAACCACAAAACTTGGCCGAGCTATTGGAGAAGGCGAACAGATACATCATCGCCTATGAGAATGTTCCCGAGCTCGTCGAGCAAAGACATTAGAAAAGACCTCCACAAGATACTGTTGCACAACCCAGACAAACCACCCCCGCTATGAGGGTAGCCTCGATAACCACTCCACGTAGCCAGAGGCGGCTGACCAAACCCCAGAACCATCGATCATCGTATCACCAGAAGCAACCTCGGTACAACCACCAGGTTCCCCACGAGACACTGCTTAGAGTAACCATGGCAGAGATAGCATACGCCATCCAAAATAAACACTTTTTTAAGAAGGCGACGTCGATGAGGGCCCGAGCTTTCCTTCGGGATAAAAGGAAGTATTGCAAGTAGCACAATGACCACTGGCATGACACGAAGGAATGTAGGCATCTGCGAAGTTTGATCGAAGAGCTGATCAAGGAAGGAAAGTTGAAAGAATTCATCGCTTCTGGAGTTGCGACCCAGAGGAAAGGCACGCCTCCTGTGGGAGGAGCGATTGAGGGCCTCGTTCGCACTAATGTCATTCACATTGCAGGGTACGTGCCTGCTATCTTCGGAGGAAGCGAGCCACCCAGAAAGGATCTTCCCGATGCTATTGTAATACCTGCTATGATAAGCAATTATCAAGTAAGAAGTATTTTAATTGACACAGGTAGCTCTGTAAATGTACTGTTTAAACAGGTGTTCCATAAGTTGAGCCTTACTGTCGATCGAATGACCACACCAGCCGGTCCGCTGTATGGATTCTCCGACGAGAGGAAGGAGGAGCTGGGAATGATCGGGCCCTCAATAAGTTGTGTGGAGAACGAGAAACAATTCATTCTTACTAAATAGTTTCTTGTGGTGGATTCGCCTCCAACCTACAACGCCATCTTCGGTCAACCGCTGCTGAACAACTTCAGAGCGGCAACCTCTACCTACCACGTCGCCATGAAGTTTCCTGGAGATAGAGATCAGCACGGTCATAAGGGACCTGGAGCAGTTCCTGGTCTGTTAATTAAGAGTCGTAAGCAATGCAGAATATGACCCCCTGGATATCCATAACACAAGGGAGGGTGTCCTCGAAACCAGTGATGCCAAGTCTCGGTGGTTGAGGGAAATCCAGGTAGAAATTTTCTGATAAGCGAGGCTTTTGATGCAGGTCACAAAGAGCTGCTGGTCTAAACCCTTCGGGAGAACCAAGATGTTTTTGCGTGGACGGTCACCGAGATGCCAGGAGTGTTGATCAATGTTGCGTGCATAGGTTGAATGTTAACTTGCAGCTTGACCCATGAAGCAGAAGATCCGGAGCTCGGCAATGACACAAGCAGGACTTATCCGTGAAGAAGTGCAAAAACTGGAGTAGGTTGGGTACATTCCGAAAGTGCAATACCCCACCCGAGTCTCCAACGTGACGATGGTTCAAAAAGCCAACGGAAAGTGGAGAATGTGCGTAGACTTCACCAACTTAAACTCCACATATTTGAAAAACTCTTACCCCCAGCCGAAGATCAATGCCCTGGTGGACTCAACTATTGGTCACTCGGTCCTAAGCTTCCTTGACAGATTGTCGGGATACCACCAGATCAAAATACACTCAAACGATGTGGAGAAAACTGCCTTTATCATCTGTGAAGGCGTCTTCTGTTACAATGTAATGCCCTTTGAGCTAAAAAATATCGGAGCAACTTACCAGCTCCTCATGGATGTAATGTTTGCAAATAAAAAAAGTAGAAACATTGAGATGTATGTCGATGATGTATTAGTTAAGAGTCGATCAGGGAACAACACATCGAAGACTTAAAAAAATCTTCCAAACAT